TGTGCTCGGAACCGCTTTGTGGCTCTCCCCTCTCTGGCTGTGTTAGAGCAACTGAAGATCCTGGTTCAGCTGCAGAGGGTCAACCTTAGCTGGAGAGAAAAAAAAACACTGGACTCATCCTGGAAAGCTTTTGGTCAGATTAATCCATTTGTTAAACTTGTTGCTAGCTGATCATCCTGACTGCGTGAGCTGTAGACCAGAGTCCTCCCTTAGCTAGCAGCCGTGAGGTGCACACCGAGCGTGCACACAGAGTGCCAAGGAGGAGTGCATCTGGCAGCGGTTCTTGGATGTGACGTGGCAGGGGACCTCCACGTGTGTCAGGGCCAGCTCTGGGACAGGCAGGTCTGGGCAGGTATGTGTGCCACGACAGCCACCCGTGATCAACATCAGCAGCCCCTGCACCAGCATCTTCCCTTGTAATAGCTAAAATGGAAGGGGGGAGATGTCCAACTACAATATATCAAATCAGAGAGAAATATCTTCTGTTTACTTCTGTTCGACCCAGAGCACTTTTATGTCAGCAAGAGTCATCTCATTTACTGCATAAGGGTCTGACTCAGGTCCCTGAAGAGGTTCTGTGCAAACTCAGGTTCCCAGATAAGAGAGCAGAGGTTCAGGTGAGTATTTCGAAGCAGTGACCTGTGCAGATAGAAGACGACATGAGGATTTCCTACCTTGTTTTGTACCTGAGTAGTGTCCATAATGATTTAGCCACTACAAGTGTGAAACAAAAAGCACAGGGAATGTACGTAGCAGTAAGAAACCCGTGCACTGCTGGGACTGTCCCTGTAGTTAAATATGTTTTAAATGATCTATTTTGTAATTTCAGGAAATTCCTTGAGTTTTTCTTTTATGACACAGAGGGCAAAAGTCATCATGTGCCTGATAACTTGAATTTATTTTCTTTGATTTTGCTCATAAATTAGACTAGAATGTTTTAGGGGCTGGGGCTGGTATGCTTTCACTAATTGTACACTGATTGCTAGCTTATTACATAAACTCTTCCAAATATTCAGATGGAGCAATACATGTTTTTGTACAACTTACATGATTTTTTTTTAAATTCCTTATTTGTGGAGTTGTTTGCAAAGTTGTTCTGGGGTGGACTTTGCTTGCAGGTTGAGATTAGGAAAGGTGTTTCTATGAGACCTTGCATATAGAAACGCATCTCATTGTTACCATGCACAGAAAAGGGCTGTGCTGCTTTTGTGTGATTTAATATGACAAATGCAGGTAAGTACAAACATCTTGTATCTAGCTTAAAAAAATGGAGAATGTTGAGTCTGATGATTTTGTTTGCTTATTTTTTTAGCTTGTTGTGTAGAATTTCAGTAACTTTATTGAAATGTGGGCATCATTTGTAAATACTTTCCTCTCTCTATTTGTAAAGCTTCTGCCCCAGTTCTTGCCTTATTCTGGGTTATGTTACGTGGGAAATCTGCAGTCCCCTGTATTGTGGACTTACCAACAGAGTACCTAAAATCATGCCATTCACTTTAGTGGGGCTTGTTCCTGTGTCAGCATACCTATTTTGATTGTGCAAAATGTGATAGTAAAAGTGTGTAGCATTTCATAATTTACATAATACTCGTGCAATTCTTCATGGTTAACATAATAAAAAAATCTACGTAGTGCAAAAAACCCCACTCACATATGTTTTACATTTCTTTAGTAGACAGTGCCATACTAAATGGAAACAGCCATGGTCTGAGAAATATACTCTCACTGAAGAACAGTCTTGAGTCCTCTCTGCAGCACGTTTAGGAGGTGTTAATGACTCCAATAATGAAATGCATTCATTAAGAGTGACACGTGGCAGCACCCTATAGCTAGGGTCCTGTCAGCACATTCATTGCCTGTGACGTATTTCAGGCTTCTGTGAAAAGAAACTTAAAATAATAGCTGTAGTTGGCTAGGTATAATTTCAGTAAATTTATGTCACATCAAATAGTTTATTTTTGAACCATAAGAAATAAATGATTTAATAATTATTTGGGCTTCTACTACACCAAGATTAACTTGCTCTTCTTAGAGAGTCTTATGTGGCAGTACAGTAAATTTTTAAAAAATAAGGGATTTATGAAGATCTGAAATTTTGACACAGTCACTTTATTTCTATGTCAAAAATGCATGCTGGAGTACTTTCTGACCAGGGTTGTTTTTTTTTTCCTTACTGTGTTTCCTTTCCAGGCTTTTGGTGATGCTGCCGTTAATAAAGAGATTTCTGAACTCAGAGTACACTGTGTGACCCTTGGATGCAGTTGGTCTGGTATCATGAAAGATTTTGAAGTATGTTTAAAGGCAGTTTATCTAAATTAATATGAACTCTTACTTGAATGGGGACAGAAAGACAATGAAAGTAGGTTCTCAGCAAACACAAATTAATGCAACTTTATTAGAATCAGCGAATGTTTCATGATTTATACCAACAGAGTATCTAAAAACATGCCATTAACTTTAGTAGGGCTTTGACCAAATCCAGAACATCCTGAATGATTGTGAAATCAATGTTGCACAAATTTACATCAACTATGTTTTTTTCCAATGGATTTACTTACTGTTTAAATGCAAGGATTCTACAAGCAGTTTTTGACAGACCAGAATACTTCAGGCTCTGGGATATTGTTATGGGCAATATCCTTATTATGTTTATATAAGAGAAATAATTTCCTCCCACTTAAATTACTTCTATTGATTGAATGTGTTCATCGTTCTCTTCAGACTGATGTGAAATGCCCCAGGTAAAATACTTACATGGGCAAGATCTGTGAATCTGCCATGCAATTAGAATAATGAAAAAATGCAGATAATTCTGATACTAACGCAGTATAGTTAGTATCTATATTGGTCCTCTGGTGTAGGAACAGAGGGTCTTTCTGCATTTACAACAGGGAGTCTGCTGCGTACCTTGTATAACTCTGTATCTGCTAAGCATCTGAGGTGCTGCTGCCTTTTCTTTGCTAATTTTGCACAAATTTTCTATTTGAGTGTATTCCTCTAACAAAAAATCTACCCAGTTTGCTTAGCTGAAGCTAAGAAGTTTTGAGAACTGGAGCCCCTCTCAGCATGAATACATGGCAAAATTGATTTGAGAGCTGGGTGTGTGATTGAAATTGGCATTTCTGAGCCTGTTCTGTAGGGGACAGCCATCTCCCTTTAAAGACAAAATCAGTTGTGACACGACGCCTACAGAAGCTTCAGTAAAAGAGGTCAGAGTAAATAGTTTTTATTGAAATATTATGTTTTTAAGAATCTGAAAGTAGACCTGTAGGATGTAGTTATGAAAGAAGTAATGCTGATATTTTTCCTTGTTGAGATGATGCAAATAGTGAAAAGGAAATGTTTTAAGTTATTTTGAATATAGTAAGTGTTGTGTCC